GATATAGTTTTACTAACGACTGGACGGAAAAATTTGTGAAAGCCAGAGCTTTCAATTGCTGAAAGTCACTTCTACCAAAATACGGCAGAAAAAAATACTGAGAAAAATCTCCAGACTATAAATAGCAGGAAGTTAAAATACAAATGTCCGAACCGCATAGATTTAAAGCAGAAAATGACATAAAGAGGCTAGTTTAGACTACTTAGAAATGATAACTGTTGTTTTCCAAACAACTACTTTAGATAAATAAGGGAAACTAATCAAAAGTCAGCCTTTCGCACACTTGATTTTATTTAAAATGACTAACATAAACGTTAAAGTTTGCACAAATGTTAGCAGACTTAAAAATGTTGCAAATTTGAATAGTTGGAAAGAAATCTTAAATATACTAGTGTTTGTAATAAAACAACGACCAATAAAATGATTAATATATGAGCTTATTCAGAGCATCAAATCATATACTTTAGGACATTACACTGGTAACAATTCAGCTGAAACAACAACTAATTCCGAACAACTCATCAACAACCTGCAATAAGAGTTATCATATTTAGCGGGAATGGATTGATCGGGTTCAACGCTAGGCTGACAGACTATAAAATCTCGCATAGTTTACTAGTCTATAGTAAGCCCAGGATAGGGAGAGGGTTAGGCATGAGGTTAGCAACCCCGTCCTGTAAATTAAACACTGCTAGAGAAACTTCAAGCCACTAGCTTGAGGCCCTATGTTCCAATGGGGAACGTGAAGGAAAAAAATTAAAAAAATAACTGCAGACTAGAATTCATTCAAACGCGTATAAAAGTCCAGGGTAAAAACAGGAGTATTAATCTAAATAATGGCCAGGATATGAATGATAGGAAATTCAATCTTTTTATGGTTGTATCACATAACTTAGAGAGATAGGAAGCCCCTTGTAAGATTTATATTAAGATTGGAATTAGGAGGTGGTATTTAAACCTGCGAAATCATTCAGAGACAAGTTTTGTTGACTTGGAGATCTAACCGCTCTAATCACACAGAATAATATAATTTACCAAACATACTTTACTAACTGTGGGACTGAACACAAAATTCAAAATGACAGATCGGGTTCGGTTAGGTTATCAGAACATGAGAACATGAGCTACGTTCAACAACCCATAAAATAATCTCAGCCATTGCTGTGCATGAAATTACATGCAATCACACAGTTGGATCAGACAGTGTAAAAGTACCAAAAATTTACATAGGTAGATAGAGAGAGATCGAAAGAGGTTGATCACTGAATCCTTGTTCGTCAATTTAACAACCAGCACATGCATTAGAAATGATGCGACACTAATCCCGCGTGTATAGAAAATTGTATTAAAAACAAGAGGAAGTAAAAGTGTATAGTTATACACTTCCTTTAAAGGAAGCTAGGAAGTCATGAACACATTCACATAATTATCAACAATAAATCGTGTTTCAAATCTCATTCAGTTAATACTACTGTAACATTATATTTTATTATGTACGTCGGTGTCAAAGTGGTTAGGACTCTTGCCAACCATACACATGGTCTGGGGTTCGATCTCCTGCCGACGCACAACTGATATCTATGGTCGGCTAGCAAAATTTTGGCTACAGATATCACATGCTGAAAATTCCATACTTGTACCAAAAATACGGTGTGAAATCAAGCTATAATTAAAAATTCTAAGAAAAATTTATCCAATAAACTACATTCAGCCACAATGTACATATCCTAGTCTTTACTTATATTTAGAATTATAAACATACCGCTCATAAATCAACTGAAGACAATTCATTTTTAAGCTCTAATCCCAATCATTCGTTCTCATTAACCTTATTATACAGCTTATACAGCAGTTATTCACTTCGAATTAAACATTTGTGATATTTTATTTTGACAGTCGAATTGTACACCAAAAATGCTATCATTATAATATACGTATTTCTTTTGAATTCCATTACAACAACTTTGACCGGAACAGGCTGGATTCAGGAGAAACAAGTCATGTATTGATCAGATCGCCACATTACGGACCATCATTGAACAAAGCTTGGAATGGCAGTCACCTCTCTATCTCAACTTCATCGACTTTGAAAAGGCCTTCGATAGCGCCGATCGAGAGGTGATTTGGAAACTACTACCCTACTATGGGGTGCCACCGACAATTATACATCTCATCCAACAGCTGTATGACAATGCTGCATGCCAAGTAATCCACAATGGGAAACTTACGGAATCCTTCGAAGTGAGGACAGGAGTAAGACAAGCTGGCTGCCTACTATCGCCAATGATTTTCCTGATTGCAGTAGATTGGATAATGCGACAGACAGCGGCGGGCAATGAGGAAACAGGCATAAAATGGACTCACACAAAAAACCAACTTGGAGGATCTGGACTTCGCTGATGATATATGTCTGATTTCCCACAAACTGGAAGATTTGCAAGCGAAAAGCAACAAGTTGTCTGAAGAAGCATCCAGAGAAGATAGGACTTCAGGTGAAAATAGAGAAAACAGAGGTGATGAAGATTCCTGGACAAGAACAACAACAACAGACAACGATCAGCATAAATGGAAGGAACCTGAAAGAAACAACCTCCTTTACCTACCTACCAACCTGGGAAGCATCGTTTCAACTACAGGAAGACGGAACTGACGAGGATATCAAAACGGCGAGGATCGGAAAAGCAAGACAAGCTTTCACTACTCTCAAGTCTGTGTGGAGGTCAACAGCACTCAGCATCAAAACGAACATAAGATCCGGATTTTCAACTCCAATGTGAAGTCAGTCAATGCTACTTACTATACGGATCAGAGACTTGCACTGCGCGTCATAAACACCATCTCAAACAAACTACACACCTTCATTAACAGTTGTCTTCGCTCAATACCACTCAAGATCAGATGGCCGACCGGAGAAGATCAGCAACAGAGATCTCTGGCAATGAGCGAACCAACCCAGCAGGAACCGATTGTGAAACAAATAGGCAGGCAGGGAGAAATGGAGATAGATTGGCTGGCCATACTCTGAGGAAACCATCAAGTGAGTGACATCACTAGACAAGCCACTGCTCGAGTGGAACCTGAAAGGGAAGCGGCGAGTTGGTCGTCAGTGCAAGGGTGGGTGACTTGGAGGAGATCATGTGAAGAGGAGATGAAAACGTGTGGGCAGACTTGGAGCCAGGTGAAGACTGTAGCAGAGAACCAAACGCAATGGAGACGCACGGCTGAAGCCCTATGTTCCTCTAGGAATTAAAGGAAACAATAATAATATTTAAATCGAAACACTATAATTCTAGAAGGAAACTAATTGACTGTTACTATTAATCTAATTGATTATTAAAAGACGTTTACATAGTAGATATACACCAAGTGATATAACTAATATGGATATACATATAAGTGTAGAACCTAAATAGAAAGTTATCGAGGAGAATATTCCTTATGAAGATTTGCATACATCAACATCGTGTAAATACAACGTATAGAAATTAGACTGATACTACAAGTGAGTCAAAGACACAGTCAAAGGCACAACAGTCCACCTTTTGATGTGCGATTAGAACTTTCATACGTCTCAACCGGATAAGCACACACAAAACATTGACTACATGCATGAATATTCTAACTGATTCGAACAGTTTGCGTGTGAGATTAGTGCACAATCGGACTAGTGACAGTCTTCTGCAATGTGAAGATGTCGAAGCAAACATAGTGGCTGATTTCTGATACAGTTTTACTAATGACTGGATGAAAAAATTTGTGAAAACCAGAGCTTTCAATTGCTGAAAGTCACCTCTACCAAAATACGGCAGAAAAAATACTGAGAAAAATCTCCAGACTATAAATAGCAGGAAGTTAAAATACAAATGTCCGAACTGCATAGATTTAAAGCAGAAAATGACATAAAGAGGCTAGTTTAGACTACTTAGAAATGATAACTGTTGTTTTCCAAACAACTACTTTAGATAAATAAGGGAAACTAATCAAAAGTCAGCCTTTCGCACACTTGATTTTATTTAAAATGACTAACATAAACGTTAAAGTTTGCATAAAAGTTCGTCAGTTCAAGTTAACAAACTTAAAAATGTTGCAAATTTGAATAGTCGGAAAGAAATGTTAAATAAACTGGTGTTTGTAATAAAACAACAACCAATAAAATGATTAATATATGAGCTTATTCAGAGCATCAAATCACATACTTTAGGAGAGTACACTGGTAACAACCTAGCTGAAACAACAACTAATTCCGAACAACTCATCAACAACCTACAATAAGAGTTATCATATTTAGCGGGAATGGATTGGCCGGGTTCGCAGCTCGGCTGACTGACTATAAAATCCAGCATAGTTCACTAGCCGGTAGTAAGCCCAAGATAGGGAGAGGGTTAGGCATGAGGTTAGAAAGCTTATCTCGCAAAAACAAAACACCTAACGCTGCTTCAACTTCAAACTTGAAGCTGTTTTCCATTTAGAATGCGTAGAGAAGAAGAAGCAGGTTGATGAAGAGTTAAAAAGTAAGCATTCAATAGAAAGACGTCAGTTGTATTTCCGGTAAATTTGGCATTTATATTGTACCCGCAAAACACGGTACTACACGATTCGACTTCGTAAACGTGTTCTTTTCTATGTACTAAGCTAAAATTAACGTGTAACTTGTGGTGTTTGTACGGAAGTGTGGTGAGTACTTAAAGTTTCGCTTATGCAGCTGGAATAATAGTTTAGTTTTGGAGATCAAACAATTAGAATGTTCAGTACAGTGAATAATAGTGATTATTCAGCGTATTTGTTTCAATACCAATGTACTTATTGAGCTGTGTAAAGCTCTGGGAGATTATATGTTTAGATGTATTGATACAAGGCTAATACTTGCATTAACCAATAAATCTTATTTTAGCTTTGCAAAATTTTTTACCAATTTCTAGTGGATAAAGAACTAATGGCGATGAGTGATGTCCAAAGATATCAAGAAAATAATAAGATAGGAGTTGAAAATAGATACTTACCTTGAAGTGTTTAGTAAGATCCATAACATTTTTGAATAATGACCTGTCGAAAAACACATGCTCGTGGAACCCAAGATCGATAATTCCCCAAAGTCTATTCACACAGAAGATGCAACCTTTTTGAGACATTATTAGACCACACGAGGAATCATTTACATGTCTAGAAGCAATGAATAGATTGAGTTTGTTAGTATAATGTAATTCAATGACGCCTGTAGTTTCATCGACACTGAATATTCTGCTATATTTTCTCAAAAACTCCAGCAGTTCAATTTGAGTCCAACCAATACAATTTCGGACTGAGTTGGGTGCACGTGCAAGTTCTGCTAGCAGTCTCGATATCACAACTTCATCCTTGAAATTATGCTTAATGACATACATCAGCCAGAAAATAGCTTTACAGTCATCTAAACACACTACAATGTTATCACTATTCTGTGATTTTGCTGACAGATCTTCATGACTGGTTGGTGGAGGAATCGAAGAACCATTAGATACACAATGATACGGCACTGTTCGATATATATCTTCAGGTATGTGAGATGACAGGGGTCGCTGTATTTTTCTTCTGTGACTGGGTGGTGGACCTGCAGAACAGATTGTCTTAAATTTATCCCGTAGCCCAACAAGATCGCCTTGAATATCAAATATCAAAGGATGCCGCATCAGAAACTCGACAAATTCAGACTGAGGACCTACGCTGATTCTAATGTGAGGAGATGCTTGTGATAAATGACCAGCTAAATTCTTAATGGGTACCCATCTCTCAGGTTTCCTCAGCAAGTGTTCTTGAAAGTACCTAACAGCAGAAGCTTCCGACTCTATTGTGTATTTACTCCGGTTATTCCTTACACTCTTAGAATAATTATTGCCACGATTGATAAATTGGTTTGAGGATGCCTTTTCTTCGCTCATTGGATTGCTTATATCAGTAAGACAGACCACATTATTAACAACGTTAAATACTAAGGGGTTAGACGATAGAAATCTTTCGAAAGTGTGAATGCTTTTCCCGATGCCATATTTAAAATCAGAAACTTGATGAAATTTGTTGCACATATGTGCCCACAAGTCTGAAACATTTTGGTTTCCCCCAAACTGAATTAAAAATTCAAGAGCAGCCAAAATATAGGCCTCTGACATAGCTCAGCAAAGACTTTAAAATATAGAAATCCAACAGGCGGGAACGTGAAAAGTATTGAAAAAATTAACAGCCTTCGCTACTTTATTTATTGATAAATATAAACAAACGAATCTTACATTCATCCTTATCAGGATATAAATCTTAAAACCTGTTATTAATCGCTTCCCCTATATATTTTCTATGAAATAATCTCCTGTCGAGTAAAATTACTTGATACACAACTACTAGTTCTCCTGATAGTCTGTTCTTCATCCTAATTTTTTGGTAGAAAGGCCTGTTATGTTAGGTAGTGTAGTTCTTCGCCTTTCTTCACTCCTGATTAAAATTATTCAGGTATATCAAGAAGAAGGACGAATAACGGACCAGGAGCACAGTTTTTTTTATGTAATTCACCTAGCTTATTATCCTCGGTTGGGACTTTGCAAGAGAATTAGGAACTTCATAAAAAAACGCACCGCTAAACACTATAATGAGACCAGTTTTATTCTCCACCTCTCTCAGTAGCCTACCAGTCTTCCTCCTGGTTGATCAAATGAATTTGTCAAAGGCTGTAAAAATCCAAGAGAATTAGCTGACTGGCAGTTGACATTGCCAAGTCTGAAGAAAATGGGCTGTGATGAAGGGACTAAAGGTGCAAGTTATTAAATAATTTTCCGCAGACCAGTGCCACACGAAATTAATCTACCCTTTGTCAGCTTAGTGGGACGTCATGGATCTACTCTAGACCTAAGCACAACTGAGCCTCGCCTAGTTTACCAGCCGGCGATGAGCCTGGAAAGACGTTGCCATACCGAAACCCTTGAGGACATAGAGCAGTTATTTAGAGATAGGCAGATGATAGCCTCTAAATCTGTCATCTAGGTAAATACTGGTCGGATGACGACCAAATTTGAAGGCTGAACCTATATGGTCCTAAACACTAAAATGGTATGCGTGGTTAAATAAGACCTCAAACCAGTGAGACATGAATGTACGTCCAGAGAGGCAGTGAGGTTTACCACGGTAAAAATGATGAAAACTTCCCATCCAGTGGAGAGCAACAGGGGTGTAGCGGCAAATAATTCCCCAGAATTATTAGCCACAGCATTCATCACTGGACATCGGATGCTGACCCCCACTGTTTGTCAACTTGTTTAGCTGAAGGCTTCCGATCAAGCATCCACGCCACTTGGTACTCCGTCGTGTCACGTTCGTTCGTTCGTGCGCGATCCCTAGCTAGCTAAGCAATCATCTCGCACTTCGATTTGGTCCTGAAATATATCTTGTATTTGGACGATCAACTCTTTTGTTTTTCTCTGCCTTTGGTCTACGCGGAACGAATACTATAGAAGTTGTGGTTATTAGATCTTGCGTTAGTATACTTCGTACTATCCGTGAACGTCAACATCCTCAGCCTCTAAACGGATGTTTTTCAACTTTATACATTGAGATTTTATTAATTATGGCATTTGATTTCCGGCGAACATGACCACTGCTGCATCGGTGGATATTTTCAAGCAAAGGCTAGACAACTGTGCAGACTCTGTCAGTCTGAAAACGTCTATCTGAAGTGCTTTCCAAATCGAAGGAATTGTTTAGGATTCAAGTGTTTCCTCCTAATATTCCCTTTCAGGGTTACGTTTTTGAAATTTTAATCTCTGCAGTGTGCTGAAACTTCGGGTATAGCCTCAATGACTTTCTCAACCACTATTTAGACAGTTGTAGCCATAGCGCTACGAAGATTAGGGAGCTAGTAGTTAGAAAAACATGGTTTCTGATCTTTGCGTGTATGGGAGTAACTGTTGCATTGACTTACTTAAACAGTGATTTTGTTCGAAGAACAGGGGGCTATTCAGAAAACTATGTATGCATTTGAAATGGCTCCACCGAGTTCCCTGACGTTGGACTCTCTGCAAATATAGATAATGACGACACTTCTAGCACTAAAACCACATCCCATTGCCATTCCGTGGGAAAGACTGCGGTAAGGTAGTCCGTCAAAAATTCCGCTGTATTTTAAGTACTTTCCCTAGTTAAATTGGCTTCGTGTTTCTTATCATAGTGCGGACTCGTTTCTGTTGGAGGCTGGCACATCAGAATTATGAATTTAGTCTAAGCTGTGCCATACAACATCCGAAGTAACAAGGTTATTAGTTAAAACTCAGAGCACTTTCTTTGCTTTCGTAGATTAGATATATAATAACCTATGCGTAAGGGGGAGTACTTTCACCGAGTTGAATGGTCCCTATCACGCTTGAGTGAGTACTATCATTATTCACTTTAATGGTCTCTTAGATTCCTGGTGGAACATAATGCTGCAGCCACACATCTGCGTTTATTTCTGTTCTCTATTGTCCTTATTTAGTTTCGCGAATATCTTCAAGCTCCCATTTTCTCTTCGCAAAATGTCCTCCAAGCTACACTCAGGGGCCCGCTAGCCTTTCACTCCATGGATTGATGGATGGTGACACTTGAAGGTAACCCCAGCATATTTTTATCCCATCTCAAATTCCCCCTACATATTCATCGTCTAGGCAATGAGTTGCTGGTCGGTTAGTCGCTGAAGTTCCTCCCGAATGGGCAGCACATGTCAGTTATCAACAGAATACAGGCGATGATGAATTTTCTGCAGCCTGCTGGAAGTGCCATTCTACGTTGAATTCTATCAGCAATGAATTGACGTTGTGTGTCAAAACGTTTTCTGGTTGGTTGAATAGTTTATCACACACTCTTATCACAGTGGAAGGTAAAAACTGTTTCTTAAGAGAGGAGCATTAGTAACTTATTGCACGTCGGAGGAATGAGGCTGTGTAGTTCGGTAGGTACCAGCGTAACTAGTCAATCTCAACCACCAAAGCCGATAACTAGTGGTGTGATACAAGGTAGTGTTCTTGGTCCTATTCTTTTCCTTTTATTCACAAATGACACACTCTCTCTGACCAAGTATGACAAGCAATGTCTCTCTGCAGATGATCTCATGATGGTATATGATTGTGGGTGCGATGAAATGAGCGATGGAAGGAAAATCCTACACGACGTAAAGAGTCTGGGCGATTGGAGTGAGAAATGTCAACTGACTTTCAACCCAGACAAGTGTGGCATAGCCCACCTAGGACGCTGCAAATCGAGAATGTGTCTATATATTTACGGTAAGCTCCTTTCAAAACTAAACACGGTCACAAATCTCAGGATAAATACTAAGACTTAACCTTTTCTGATCATGCAAATAGGGTAGTATCTGACTGTAAACGAATTACTGGCTTTGTCCTGCGTAACGTTTTTACCCAAGAAGCAAGATTAGCTGTATATAAGACATGTATTCGCCCCAAAATTGAATATTGTGCTCTCTTATTTAGTAACCTAAGGTCCGCAGACCGAAAAAAGTCGAAAGCGTTCAGAGACTCCTCATAAAATGCATAACGGGGTTTGAACGACAGGTGGAATATGTTGACGGGTGCACACGACTGGAATTAGGACTCCTAGGAAACATCGCTACGGTAACTCATCCATAACGTGGGCAAATATTAAACCATATCAGCTGCGAAACGACGACTACATTCTCAAGGTGGCTAGGCACTGAAAAACCATTAGTGCAAACTTTTTCTCTATTAAATATTGCATTCTTTGGAACCAACTCCCGTCTGAAATTAGATGTTGTGAAAACCTCATTGGGTTCAAACGGCGCCTAGAAAGATCCAATAATGTGTTCACTCTAGCTCGTCTAAGAGGCCACAACTTTTGGTAGAATCGTAAACGGAATTCAGTTCAGTCTTCAGTGTAGCCAATTACATCTAACTCAACTCTACTACTTATATAGCGAACGTTTAACCAGCTAAATGATTTTCTCTTCTCTATAATCTTCATTAAGTTGGGTTAGTGTAAGTATTGCCAGAAACAATTATATACTTTTGGAAAAGTATTAATTTTTGATACTTCAGGATAGTAAATCATAATATAACTGATCGTGTCTGTAAAAATGGCGTGCATTTCTTGCACACAGCCGTTTGTACGAGATTTGAAATTCATATTATTTGCCTAGTGCCAGTCTTGACAAGATGAACAATGTATATGATAGTGAAAACCATGGAAGAATGCTATCATGATGGAACGGTCAGCGTTATCAGACATATTTAAAATAATCAACATTGCACTAATGCTGTTCTCATTTCTTTTTTAGTTGGTTCAATTATTTGTCTAGCAAGCATCATCACGAAATATGCACAGTGCTTTCATGCAAACCTGGAGTGGAATACACAGCTGACATACTCACCACGAAAGCTGCACTGAACCTACATGAACTACCCTCACACCTCATGTCATACCTTTTCAGTCATTCAACTCCATTCAACCCCAGCTGCTGACTGTCAAATTAATCAAATATTATGGCGAATATCCCTGGCAAAACTGTATTTTGGGCAGCTTAGTGTGGTGGGAGTTCTACCTCAAGGTTGAGTAGTAAACAACCTGGATATGGCCGGGGCTAAAATCTCCTCTGGTGACTATGTAAGAGTTGGACTTAGGGTTTGCTTCTAACTGACAATAACACTCTTACAAAACTCCTTCACCGTTTATAACCTTAATTAGTACTCTGCCTACGTGCAAGTACTAAAGAAACGGAATTGAAGTTAGAAGACTCAAAATGCCAAGTTTAACCGGACCGGAATTATATTTACACAACGAGATATGCAATTTGATAAGGAATAAAAAATACACACTTATCTGGATGTGAGACGGCTGTCGGCTCGTAGAGTGTACTAGGTGAAAGTACAGCGAGAGAGCGAGACAGTAACCGTACAGGAGGAACCGGAGTACAAAGCGGAAGTGGAAGTGAAGTTCAACATGTCAGGTTGCATTCATTCAAACAAAAGTTCAAAGGTACAATGTACACTACAGGTTATCCCCCCCTTAGAAGGTTGGTGGGATAACAGCAAGCTTCGATATATAAAAGTAACAAGGTGGCGTACAATCACGGTGAATGAACAAGAAAATGTGAAGATAGTAATAAAATAGCTGTTTTTCTTCTTTTTTTTAAAAAAAATATATATATTGAGAAAGGAAAGAATGAAGGAAAAAAAAATTAAGGCAATTTATGAGCACTATGTACATGATCGC